TCCGCCATTTTTTTCCCCTTTTCCGGCGGGTGCCTTACCTCCCTTGGGCTGGGCCAGCTGGTGGTCGGCCTGCTCCGTCTCTGCCGCTTGCCAGCTACGCCTCGGCCGGCGCAGGGGGCGGAACCACGCATGCGTGGCGCTCCCGGGCAGGGAAAGTCCTCGACTTACGACCGGTTTAGTCCTCGACTTACGACCGGTTGGGGTCGCGGCATTAAAAAGGTTGAGAACTACTGGCGTAAACCAAGGCATGTCAGCCGATAAATCTTCCATTTGTTCTGCCATTTTCTCTCCTTGCAACAGTTTGGTGGCCAAGCGTATAGCGACGTCAGCCACACTCGGGTCCTTTGCAGGGCATTGGATGGCATTGAGTGCGCAGGACATCGGACTTTTCTGCGTGGGAACAAGCCGTGCATAAAGTGAGTGCCTTTTCTTGGTACATTTTTGCAGTTTCGGGTGACAATGCAGAAGCCAAGAGCAGCACACGTTAGGTCTAATTTCTTTGTTTGGGTTTTGTGAGCTTCTCTGCTCATCAGCAAAACCTGAACATGTAATTCTCATGATGCTGTCTAATGTGCATTTATCCATGTAGTACGGCTGCAGTATTACATATATGTATTTACCAATGTAGTGTGCCTGTAGGTATTTGTATGTGTGTTCCCCACATAGTATGGCTGTAGCATTATTTATCCTTATCTTTCAAATCCCCCACTCTTATTGGTATTATGATTATGATTATTTATTTATTTTATTTATTTATATTTAAATTTATATGCCGCCCTTCTCCCCATGGGACTCAGGGCGGCTCACAGCATATTAAAACATTGTACAAAAAATTTTCCCCTGCTAAAAACCAATTAAAATCCAAATATTGGTAGCTGTGGCTCTTTAAAATTGTTTAAAAATTATCCCTATTTAAAACTCATCATTAAAACTTATCATTATTCTGTTGCTTTGCATGTACCTTGACAGCTTCTGCACCGGAAACAGTCATAAAATGGGTCACCTATGGGACCAAGCCAATTTTTTAGTCTTTTTTGCAGTGGCTGCTAAGCAAACCCATTGTTCGCTGTGGGGCATGTTTTGCTGAAAAGTGGAAATAAAAGCCGTTTTTTGGCAAAAAAAAAAAAAGTTTGACATAAATCAAGGCCACATGACTGCAGGATGCTGTAAATGTCTGTAAATGTGAACTTCTGTGTGTGTCTATAATCACATTTGGCCAAATAAAGTATCCATTTAATCCAATTAACTATTCAGTATGACACAGAAGAGAGTCATTCAGCAATTCCATTCTAACTCCAGCTGTTGATTTTATACAGCTTTGTTTCTGTCGAGGAGAAGTCCTAAATAATTACACACTTGGATGGTATAGGGCGCCCACAACATATGATTGCTCACTTAGTAACCAGTCAGAGTTACGATGGAGCCCCTAAAAGGTACTTACAACCTAGTTCCCAAGTTCCAACTGGTGCTTCTCCCCTATGTGGTTACGCAACTTCATTTTGGGTGCTCAGCAACCGGTTCACATTTACAGCATCCTGCAGCCACGTGGCCATGATTTGTGACAATTTATTTTTGCCAAAAAACGGTGTTTATTTCCACTTTTCAGCAAAACACGCCCTATAGCAAACAATGGGTTTGGTTAGCAGCCACTGCAAAAAAAGACTGAAAAATTGGCTCAGTCCCATGGGTGACCCATTTTATGACTGTTAAGACTTATGACTTGCAATAGGTTCCATTACAGTTCTTAAGTCGGGGAGTATCTGTAATCATTGCAGTGTATATTCCACACAGTGTCATGTTATAGCCATGAGGGGGTGCTGCGCACGGTTCCTAAAACTTCCTTTAAACATTTTTCCTTTATGAGGATTCCGTTCCTCTCTTTGCGACTTTTGTATTCCAGGTACACTGGACACTACTTCATTACCACTCTCCTCTACTCCTTTTTCTTGGGCTGCTTTGGGGTGGACCACTTCTGCCTAGGCCATACAGGTACAGCTGTGGGGAAGCTGCTGACTCTTGGAGGACTTGGCATCTGGTGGTTTGTGGACCTGATTCTTTTAATTACTGGGGGACTCATGCCGAGCGATGGGAGCAACTGGTGCACCATTTACTGAAAAGCTGTCATTTGGCCGGACTTAATCCCGAGAGGAGAAGCGGGGCGAGCCTGGCCTATGTGACGTCCTGCTTGAGGTCAGATCCATGGCGACCAGAGAGACTGTGATGGTGTATTTATTTTTCCATGGAACTAGGATGGGATTTGACAGAAAAGAGGCAAACCGTTAAATTCTGCAGGATATACCTCATTGTTTAAAGTTCTCCTCCTTACAGGAAGACTGTACATTTATTTATGAATTTCACGCCATTTTCTACGTGTCGGGCTCCACTTCTGTATTTCAGCTTGTGCCATGGTAGTTGCTGATGCGTGCACAGTGCACATCCCTAGGTTCTTGTTGCTGTGAGTTTAGAAGTTTTCATAATAAGCCCACGTGGCTAGAATTAGCTGACGGGAATTTGCAAGGTTTGAGGCTGTACTAAAAGATGGCGATGCTTATTTACTTTCAACTTTAGGATAGTGGCACTCCTTTTCCCCTTAGAGGTCTCATGCTACAGTGTCCCTCTTTATGTTTTTGTACATAGAGATCTCTGACAATCCTTCTCCATTCTTAATTTTGTTTTACAGTAGAAGTATAGAGAAGCAACCATCTTTACTTAGGTACCCAATTGTAACTTATTTAAAGGCAACCCCAGCATGTGCTTGTTAACTCAAAAAGCAGTGTCCTTGATGCCTTAAACCAGGGGTGGGGAACCATGGCCCTCTTATGACTTGTGGTCTTCAACTCCCAGAATTCCCCATGCTGGCTCAGGAATTCTGGGAGTCGAAGTCCACAAGTCATAAAATGACCGTGGTTCCCCCGCCCTGCCGTAAACAGTGACATATCTTACACCCCCTCCCACCGCCCTTTAAGATAAAATTGTCGGGAGACAGATTTTTAGAACAAAACACTCATTCTAAAAATTAACACAGAAGCAAATCCTTGCTCTGCTTCCTTAATCAAATCTTCACGTTTCAAACTCAGCTAGTTTTGGAACGTGCTTAATACGATTCGATATCGGCAGAAAAATAATCCATCTAGTAGTGGTTGCGTGCAACTTTTTTTGTCAGTGAAATTGGCAATTTGTAGCCAATTTCAAAAGCTGAAATCAAAATGTATTCCTTTTTGCAGTATGATGAAATAAGATGGACCGCCAAACTTTCCAGCTGTTGGATAATAAGAGTAAACTCATGTCAAACATGATGGGTGGTTCTTTGTAATATTATGAGGTACCTTTAAAAAAGGAGAGCCAGTTCATAAGAAGCTTTTTTGGGGGGGTGTCTGTTGTAACTTTAAACAGTTGCTTAATGAGGAACTGCAAGCTCTTATTATAGATAAGGCAATACAGAGTCATCTGATTTATAGAGAATTCTGCCCCCAGTAGCTCAGTCAGGTATTTCAGTCACAATAGGGACAGCAGGCAATGGAATATATAGGAAATACCCTTCCCCCCCTCCTAAATTTGGGGGTCCCAGGAGTTAAGATGATTCACAATTGAAATAGGCATGGAATGCCTCTTCAGTTTCACACTACTGTGCACAATGATGATGGGAGGGCATCTGTTAGTGCACGGTTTTTCAACTGCCCCCACTTCGAGATGCTATCTGGCAAATGAGGGGTCCTTAGCACTTTCTGAGCTTGTTTTCTTGCAGACATTTCATTATCCAAACTAGGTAACATCATCACTGCTAATGAAGTTCATTTCAACCCTGAGTTATAAATATTCTCCTTTATTGGTATCTGGCCAACAGTGAGAGTTGAAGTCCGTCTTAAAAGTTGCTGAGGTTAACTAAATACTTCAAGCCAAGCAGAATAAATTGACGAAAATTCCTATTTTCAGCATGATTTGTGTAACTGGCAGGCTGTTATACACACATCTGTGTATATGTGCATCTGTCTATCTGGATCACTGAAGAATCTTAGTCCGCTTCCCCTCCTGATGTTTTGAAGGGAAAACATCACATCGACGCCTTTCGTGAAACCGACTCTTAAAGACACGTAACCGACCTTAATAATTCTCCTAATATTTTATTCTCTGTCAGGGCCATTCCCTGGTGGAACAAAAGGTCCAAAGGAATCATTCAGAGTCTTGGAAATTTTGCACCTCTGCTCACGCAGCAGTGAAGAGACTATACATTTCACAGTTGTGTTTATTTCAAGGCAGAAACATAGATGAAGACAAAAAATAGGCAGACGCGCATAAGATTTCAGTCAGTTTGGCCAAAAATAAAAAAGGTTTGGTTTTTTTTTTGTTTGTTTGTTATTTTTAGAAGAGGCAAAGTGTTCTGGAAATTCTGCTACCAGTGAGGCAATGGTCCTATATTGAAGGAATTGAGGGATTTCACAATGAGCTTCTGCTCATCTTTTCCCTGTTGATTCCAGGGCTGTTTCTATAGAAACAAATGCCATTTCGATTTCTCCTTTAAGGACATTTATTGAAACCCAAGTTCTAGGTTGTTGTGGCTCAGGAGCCCAAGGACACACTTTGTTTGTAGAATGTCTTGAGGTTCACTTCCAGTGTGTCCTACAAAGCTGGAAAAGCTGATTCACATGGACAGCCCTGGACCTCCTGGGCCAAGAACCCAATGCACTAGCTCAGGGGTAGTCAACCTTTTACATAAGTAGCTGGGCACAATGTATATTTATAACAATAGATTTAAAAAAATATATCCTTTTTAAAACAGCAGCATATGATCTGAGTGCAGCACAAGAATGTCCAAAACATGTCCCAAGAACAGAGAAGCATGAGGAATTGTAGAAATGTCTCAACTATCAGAGTGTCTCCCCATTCCCCAAATTCTTTGATTTAGCTTTCCATTACAGTGGTGCCTTGGGACTTGACTGCTTTGAAACTCACTGAATTTGGTACTCAGTGCATTTTGACATGAAAAATTTGTCCCGGTATTCATCATTTGTTTGATACTCAACGTACAAGCTAGAACTTGTCGCTGTCGGCTGCCTTGTGACTCACTACCTTATTCCTTGTAGGAAAAACTTGGTACTCAATTGTTTTTGGTGCTTCCTTGGATTGAGGTACCACTGTATTAAATTTATATGCTGCCCGCCTCACTATCAAGCAACTTCAGGGTAAATAAGAATTTTGAAGAGGTTGAAAACTTCTACACGCGTTTGTTCGCAGGGGGATGTGAATATTTTTCACCCCAAAAAGCAAAATCTGCCTCTTGAGCAATATTTACCCATGAACTTGCTTGCCAAAGCCGACGGGTTCCTGCCAACTTGCTGTCCAGGAATTTCATTCCCAACTTCTGGATGCTTCAACCTGTTTGGAAGCTAACCCGGAGAAGACAAATTGAAAAAAAAGAGCACGGTCTTGTGTTCTCACAAATTGGCACTATCCGTACGATTAGGCCAAAAAGTAGAACCTTGAGTTTGAATTGGCTTTGCTCTCACTAGCATGTAACTGGCTATATCAGGGGTAGGCAACCTTGGCTCTTTTATGACTCGTGGACTTCAACTCCCAGAATTCCTGAGCCAGCATGAGGGAAACTTTGGCCCCTTCATGAGTCGTGGACTTCAACTCCCAGAATTCCTGAGCCAGCATGAGGGAAACTTTGGCCCCTTCATGAGTCGTGGACTTCAACTCCCAGAATTCCTGAGCCAGCATGAGGGAAACTTTGGCCCCTTCATGACTCGTGGACTTCAACTCCCAGAATTCCTGAGCCAGCATGAGGGAAACTTTGGCCTCTTCATAACTGGTGGACTTCAACTCCCAGAATTCCTGAGCCAGCATGGCTCAGCTTAGAAACTCTCCCTTTCCCCTCAGCAGAGCTGGCTCAGGAATTCTGGGAGTTGAAGTCCACGAGTCATAAAAGAGCCAAGGTTGCCTACCCCTGGACTATATCAAGCCTTATTATGACCCTGTTCAATATACCACTGTTTTCTCGAGGTATCTCAAGGAAAGAAGTTAGCACACCTTTCTTTACAAAATGCTGCCCATCCTTGAAAAGTAAAAGAAAAAAAAAATTGTGCCGGTAGGTGAGATTGGAGACAACCGTGATGAAATTTCAGGAAATGTATCTCCCGTTTCCCAAAAGTGATTATTTTCAACACAGAAGCCGGATCGGATTATTTAGCACCGCTCAAGAGATATACAGTGGACAGATAAAAAAGAGTGGGAAGAAAGAAACCAGTGGAAGACCATCACCAAAAACGAGGGCTGTGATCTCAGAACTGACCCAACTTTCTCACTCTAGAAGGCAACTGTTGGTTTCTTGACACAAAATCACCCCAATATTTCCAGAAGCCATGAATTTCCCACCTGGGATCATCTGCAACCAGGGTCTCTCCAAACATGGCGACTTCAAGACTTGTGATCTTCAACTTCCAGAAATCCCCAGCCAGCATGGAAGTTGAAGTCTTAATGGCCAAGTCTGGAGACTCCTGGTCTCCAGTTATGCTGATGGAGATACAGGTGGCCTTTGAGTTTACATCCATTCGTTCAGCAACTGTTAACGGTGGCAACTGAACAAAGGGACTTACGACGGATCCTCAAAATCCTGGCCATTGCAGTGCCTCCATGGTCACTTAAACAAAATTAGGGTGCTTGGCAACCAGGTCACCTTAAGGACCGGTTGCAGTATCCTAAAGTCACACGATCACTGTTGCTGGCCTTCTCTGCCAGCTTCCCACAAACAGAGTCAATGGGGAAGCCAGAGGGAAGTCAAAGATCGATCGAGTAAGTTTCCTGCCCAGCCTTTCTTTGTTGACCCTGAGCCTTCCTTTCCCCCTTTGCTTGCTTGCACCTACCAGCATCCTCCTTACCTGAGCCTTCTCGCACTTGCACATGCGTACCCCACACCCTCTTTTCCCACCTCCGCGAGTTCATGCCACAACGCAGCATCCCAACTCACGTGCAGAACTCCCATGCTCCCCACCTGGTACTTCCTCCATTTCCCACTTAACGACCTTCCTGTCTTGGGGTTATGATGAGAACCGGGACAGCCTGGATTGCCATCAGTAAACACTCTACAACTGCATTGTTTAGTGACAGCAATCAGGGTCTCAACTGTTGTCATAACTCAAGGATTACCTGTAGGTCAATCAACTCCTCTCTTATAAAATTGGGAGGGATGGATGGAGAAGGGGGAAGGATAGGATAGGATAGGATATCAACTAAAGAGACATGGTGGATCCAGCAGCCAGGGAGATGAAGTGAGATCAGATTCCCCTGAGTAACAAGGAAAAGCTGGCATCAGAAAATCTAACGGCAGCAGTTAGCAGCACTTTTTTTCTCAGTAGAGTAGTTCACAAGTGTTTACTATTAGAAAAGTCTCAGATTGGGCCACCTCTGCTTGCATGCTAACTGTCCCCTTGAGATCTGCCAGCCCCCTGCTGAGGCCAGGCACGCCATTGGGGGAGATTGTAGAGGTTAGGTTAGTGCCCAACGTACAGGCTCTACGATTACTCTTGGTGAGCGCGGCTCATTCCTGAATGATGCAAAGATGGCCAGTGGACAAAACCATCTTTCGAAGTAGTTTAACAACACTCCCTGCTCTAAACCCCACCAGCTGCCAAACAGGCTTCACAGTTTTCCAAAGGTTAACTCAAAAAACATTCAAGAATCCCTTGGAAGCCCAGCAAAAACCACAGTTTCATCTCTTCGGCAAGGGCCGCCTCATTTCACCCAGGGAAGGAACATAACAGCAGCAAGGACCACTGAGGCAGCCATAAAATGTCGCGAGGACAGATGGGGGGGGGAAATGGGGAGAAAGGAGAAGGAAGGAAGGAATGGAGAAAGAGAAGAAATGGAGAAGGAACAAATGGTGAGGTAGAAGCAACAGATGGAGGAGGAGGAGGAGGAGGAGGAGGAGGAGGAGGAGGAAGAAGAAGAAATGGAGAAGGGAAAGGAGAAGGAAGAAGTGGAGAGAGGGAAGGAGAAGGCAAAAACAAGCAGAAGAAGGAAGAAAAGAACAAGGAGGAGAGTGTTGTTGTGCTTAAGGAGCAAAGAGATTCACATTGGCTGATTCAGCAGGACAGTGGTTTCACTACGATGCTTTTCCTGATCTATAAAGAACAGAAGAAAAGAATTGTGTTGCTGGGATAAACAAGATAAGTGCCTTGGTTTTCTTTACGCTACAAGGGTTCTGCCATTGTCCTCCAGGCAGTAATATGTTACTTAAGGCATCCCAAAGAAACATTCAGTTCATTACTGTTGATTACCATATCCCAATTTCCTTTTCACTGCTAGCTTGACAGCTCCCATCTTCCAACAAACCCCACTAGAGGAGCCGAGGAAGGCAGCTCCAAATCTCTGATTAAATATCCCCCCCAAACGAGTCAACAGAGGCTCCATTGTGTGCTGACAAAGCCGGTGCCGAGAGCTTAGTTCAAGGAAGGCAAAGGAAAGAGCAGAGATGATGGTGTCTCCCCACCACCAGGAGCCCACCAGTCCAGATGTCAGCCCTCTGTTAGGTTTAGGAGCCAGAGAGACCCACTGGAGGGGGCTTCCCAAGCTGAGCTGCCTGTTTCCGTGATCGCCCCTTGCTGATGAAATCTGATGGCTATCTAGAAAGCAAGGCGGACCGGAGGAATCAAAGAGGAAGCCTGTGGGTCAGTAGAAATGCTTCCGGCTCTGTTCTTGCCATTTGTTGTAAACGATGACACCAATGACGATGGCGAAGACGATGGCCACCAGCGAAAAGAAGACTATCAGGAAGAGAGCAAGGCCACTCAGGGGTTCCAGCGGCGTCTCCACTGCAAAGGACAGGTGCAGAGGTCAGACTCTGCTATAAGAACAAGCTCTAGCTCTTTGTTGATACCTGGACTGCTTCCTACTCCACTTGGATGTGCTGAGCTAGAAAGACCCATACATGCAATGCGCGTTAGGGTTTTCCACAGCACTTACTTCACTGACACCCTAAGTCAGGGGTCTCCAAACTTGGCCGCTTTAAGACTTGTGGACTTCAACTCCCAGAATTCCTCAGCCAGCATGGCTGGCTGAGGAATTCTGGGAGTTGAAGTCCACAAGTCTTAAAGCGGCCAAGTTTGAAGACCCCTGCCCTATGGAGACCAACTGCTGAAAACTCCATGGCAGATCCTTGTTAGAACAGCCTCCAGTGGGTCTCCTGAAATGGGCCCTCCACTGCAGAGACCCAACAGGATGCTGCCATAAGCAAAATGCAGTATCCACTCCCTTCAATTCAAAGGCCTCGCCATCCCAGGGACAACTGTGTTCTGCCTGCAGTGCCAATCCTTAAGTCCCAGCTGTTGTAAGAACCGAAGCAGTTTCTTGCTGGATTGGACTCCTGGCCTATCAGATCTTTTCTTACAGTGGCCCACCAACTGCCCATTGGTTCCTAACAGATAGCCTTCGGAGGTTATCCCAGGGCTACTCAAGGCTAGTAGACCTAGTGATCCCTAGGTCTTCCATTAATCAGTCTAACTTTCTTTGAAACCTGCAGTTCTACATCTCACGGTAATTTAATTATGTATTGTGTAAAAAAAACAACACCAGGCCTCCTTGTGTTTGCCCCGATTCATTTCACTGGGTAAAACTGAACATCATACTCACTTCCAGGAAGTTTCATGTTCTCCACCACCGGAAGGAAGACTTCTTTGTCACGTTTCTCTTCTTCTAGTGTCCGTTCAACCGTCAGCTGGTAGGTCTTCAGAGAAATTATGTCGTGATTGTCTGAGTTCAAAAGGAAGGGGGATAATGAGGAGGGGGTCCACTTAGAGCAGGGGCCTTCAAACTAGGCCAGGGGTAGGCAACCTTGGCTCTTTTATGACTCGTGGACTTCAACTCCCAGAATTCCTGAGCCAGCATGGCTCAGCTTGGAAACCTCTCCCTTTCCCCTCAGCATGCCTGGCTGAGGAAATCTGGGAGTTGAAGTCCACGAGTCATAAAAGGGCCTAGTTTGAAGATCCCTGACTTACAGCCATTAGCTGGCTATTGAATTTTGCTCCGGCTTTTGATATTAAAAAAGCCAAGTGTGATGGGAGTTAGTTAGACATAACAATATTGTAATAGCGTGTGAACTCAGGGTTTTTGAAATAAGAGATGATAAGAAATGGTGGGTTGGAGTAAAGGAGGGAAAGCCTGCATTTCAAACTAATTGGAGAATGTGATTTATGACTGTTAATTAGAGGAGGGAATTGTGTTTGATACTATGTGCTAAGGGGAGGGGAATCCAGATTTTGGCTTCGCTTATGTACGTGCCGATGCTATGCTGCTCGAATAAAGATTCTTTAAGGTAAACAATGCCTCAAAGTTCTTTGAAGAGTTTCATCTGTCGGAACCATGACATCAAGTTTACTCGTAGTGGAAGCTAAAGTCCAACACATCTGGAAGACATTCTATTGAGGAAGCTGCCTACGGGTTCCCTTCTCTTGTTCCAAGTTTTTAAGCTCTGCAGGATCTTCTCCAGAAGTAAAAACGGTAGGAAAAAAAACCTCTTCCAGCTATGCTGGGCTTATGAGCAATACCTGACAAGTCTCCCGTGACGGAAGAGATTCCGAAGAAGTATCCGCGGGGTAAGTGGACTCCAGGAATGTCGACGCAATCTCTCCATTCGTGCTTTCCGTCAATATCAATCAAGACCTCAAGTCAAACGAGAGAAGACTCATTCTAGATGCATCCTTTCCAAAGCTTACCTGGAGAATCCTTGGGAAGGACGTGATGATTGGGTGTTAGAACTGTCACTCAGAGCACGACAACAAGGGGCCACCTCCTTCCGGTTAAAATTTCAGACAGGGGGGATAACGAAGAGAAGAGACTTGGACGGGGCAGGAGAGGAAAGATGGGTCTGAAAAAAGCTTAAAATCCTAGGCCAAGAAGAAAACTTCCAGATGTCTGAAAAACAGCATCGAAAATATGATCACGTTCCAAGGAAGCAAGACTACTACCCAAACATTATGAGATTATGGGAACCTGATTATAACTCATTTCAGGCTATTTAATAAAAGTTAATTCAATTCCTACAAACAGACAGACAAGACAGTTAGCAGTAGCACTAAGATTTATATAACCGCTTCATAGTGCTTCACAGCCCTTTCTAAGTTATTTACAGAGTCAGCATATTGTCCCCAACAATTTGGCTCCTCATTTTACCGACCTCGGAAGGATGGAAGGCTGAGTCAACCCTGAGCCGGTGACAATCAAACTGACGACAGTCGGCAGAGTGAGCCTGCAATACCACATTCTAACCACTGCGCCACCAGGGCTCTTAACAGTTGCAGACTATAGACACTCACCGTAAGTCTCCTCTTCACGTATCGGATCACCAGGAAAGTGTCGTGCTCCAGGTTCCGGACTATGGCCGTGCAGCCACCGAGTTCAGTCGGCCTCCCATCCCTCTCGTGGTCGTAGACAAGGGACCCGTTGGTGATCATGGCCGAGACGTACGGGAAGACACGCTGGAGAAGGAACAGAAGGAAGAGACCGGCTTTCCATCCGAACAGCTATTTTCACACTGGTTGACATTCGGCAGAGTGGAAAGGAGCATGCGAGGAGGGATGCAATGGAGCCGAGCTGGAGAGGCCAAGAGCAGGAGGAGGTGTGTTGTTGGGAAGCAGGGCAGTTCAAGACAACTGAGAAGCAAGCAATTGGGCCAGGTGGTGACAGGACTATAAATGCATTTGGCAGAAAAGGCTGTGATGTTCAGAGACAGCCTGGATTTGGGCAGGAGGAAAGCAAAGACTGCACTACAAGATTGGAATAAAGGATCTAGAAAGGGACCATATGAAGTACCTGGTTTCCTGAAGAATACCTCTTCTTCTGGGCCTGAGAATCCAGAATGGTTATTGCAGAGCCGGGGGAAAGGGGAGGGGACAGAAGCAAGAGAGAGTCACCTAACAGACTTAATCTCCCTTCATCCAATCCCTGGGCTTCTTCTCCTCCTCCACGACCGATTGTTTAGGTTAGGGGAAAGGTGGGAAGGTATCCCTAGATTGGAAAGCTAAGGGATCCTGGAATCGGAGGGGCTGGAGGAGAGATCCCTGCCTTACGAAGGTAACTTGTACCAGAATACAGACCGAAACAAGCAGAAAAATTCTGGCTTTTAACTTTGCATTCTCTGACATCATATAGCAAGGGTGTGTCCCAACCTTAGCAACTTGAAGACTTGTGGACGTCAGCTCCCAGAATTCCTTAGCCTTCATGCCCTGGCTAGGGAATTCTGGGAGTTGAATTCCACAGGCCTTAAAGTTGCAAAGGTTGGACATTTTACCCTACAGCACTAATACAGCTCTTATTTTGGGATAGATTAGATCAGGGGTGTCAAACTGCCGGCCCACGGGCCGGTTGCATCATACAGAGGCAGCGTCCACCCCAGCAATGCAAAAAAAAAAAAAAAGTCATGATACATCGCGACATGTCATGTGATGTGTTGAGTTTGACACCCATGGATGAGATGGTGCCCACCAGGCTCTGCATCTTACCTGCCTTTAGAAAAAAAGACTAATTATATATACTTCATTTATTTGTAAAGATGAATACCTTTCTCCCATAAAAGAGCAAAAGGTGGGGTACTCAGAACTCTTTTCTATATTTCAAAACCACCACCCTGAGCGAAAGCAACTGGCCCAAAGTCATCAAATGTGCTTCAGGGACTGAGGTCCAAAACCTCCACTTCTTCAGCAGACGAGAGCTGCCTTTTTAGTTTAATTAAGTAGGGCTCTGGGGTGACAAGTGGGGCGATGGAGGTCACACAGGCTGCAGTTCTCCCTTCCTAAAAGTAGGCATGAAGACACAGAGGGGTGCTTGTCTGATTCTCCAAAGCCCAGCCAGCCAGATGGGTTCACCGTTCTGCCTAAATTGCCCCTTCCCCATAACAACTCAAATTGCTCCAAACAACCTGAACCATCACCAGCTTCTTTGGGTTGTGCGAGGTAGAAGACTGAGGGCGAAAAGCAGAACACAAATTCTCCACCTAAGATTCATATTCCTCGGGAGCCATGACAGATTTGGAACTTAAGACACATCACAGCAGCCAACGGTCTTCTTAGCCCAGCTCCAATGGCTGACCAGGATGTGGCCAATGCCCCCTCCCCAGCCTTCTTCTGCTGCCTGCACAGCCATTCCGGGGTGGCCCTTACCTCCTGCTGCTTCTCCTCGTTGGGGTAGGTGTCCACAAACACGCCCAGCCCTATGAAGTTATCCTTGCTGCCAAAGACCAGCCCTGGAACAGACAAAAAACTGTGTCCAGCAGCTGTTTCTCCAGAGATCAATTCATGCTTTTAGAAAAGCCAAAAGAATTTTTTCCTTCAGGGTTGAAATGAAGGGTCCTTGGTGCTCTCTGAGCTTGCTTGTTTTCTTGCAGACCTTTCATTACCAAACTAGGTAACATCATCAGTGCAAGAAAGTCTGCAAGGAAAGAAGCTCAGAGAGCCCCAAGGACCCCTCAGAATTTCCCCATTTTTTTATAGTGGAAAAGCTTAGCTTCTCTTCTGCACACACCCAGTTAAATTCTGGAGGAGCTGGCCTTCACGAGAAAAACGGTTTAGAAAGTGAAAGAAAGTTTTGATTAGTGTCTATGGAGACTCTCAAATCATGCAGGTCATAGTTGCCCCAAAGGTGCTTTTTTAAAAAAAAAAAAAAAGGCAACTGGACTTTTTTTTCCTTCGCAAACATTTTGCTTTGCATCTAAGAAGCTTCTCCAATCCCCACCAGTCAAGTTAGAACCGAAGAAGTTTTTTGGATGAGAGGAGAAATGTTTTCAAAGGGGGAAAAAAAACCCAGAAAGTCCAGTTGTCTTTTGGAAAAAGCAATTTTGGGACAAACTTTGCTTAGGCTTTCTGAGTTGTTGTTTTTTAAACAATATCTAACAATGGCCTTCATTTTTGAACACGTACTGGTGCAAGAACACGAGGTTTCTAGTTTAATTCAAAAGAAGACTTGGGCCAGAAGGACAATTCAGGCAAAACCTGAGGATGCAATTGGGAAACATCCTTATACGTAATATACACAACACCCTATGAAGTTTTTTGTCACTGGTTCTACTGAAGAAAACAAGGAAAAGCATCAACGGGTATGAAAGATACTCGTAGCCAAGGAAAAGGACATCTTTCTAAATCTGCCAGCCAACGGGCTGGCTCGCTGCAAAGAGACTGCAGCGCCAGAGATCAAAGCTTGGCATGGATTTGGAAAAGTCCTTACCTGGCTGCATCCGATCCTTTGTGTACCAGATGGCAAAGCCATCACCGTTGAGGTTTTTTTTTCCTTGCCCGTGGATTCTGAAATGCACCTGCATCTCCCAGTCTCTCAAGTAACAAGGCTGTTGAAAGCAAAAAAAAGATGCAATTTAGAAAGGAGAGAACCATTAAAGGCTTAACAGAACAACAGAGTTGGAAGGGACCTTGGAGGTCTTCTAGTCCAACCCCCTGCTCATGCAGGAGACCCTATACCCATTTCAGACAAATGGCTATCTCTTAAAAATCTCCATTGTTGGAGCACCCACAACTTATGTTAACATCTTTGTGATTAAGGGAAATATGTATTTAACACTTTCTTTGCAGGCGAGATGCATAGGTTCCTAAGAAAATGGATCCTTTCAAAGCAGGATAAATTCTGCTAAAAAGGTTTTGTGGGTGTGATGCTCAGAATGTACAATAGCTTATATCACAAAACCGAGACAAAGAAAAAACTATAAACTATGAAAAAAAGTTCTGGATTGCTGTCACATTCTAAACCAAGAGACACACATCATAAGCTTGGTTTCCTGGGTACAATCAAGTTCAGGGCCGGCTTCACATATTCAACGAAACCAGGTGGGTCAGTATTTGGCTTGGCCTTCATCCAATATGAAATTCCAAATACCATAGTTTGTATGCTGTGGTTTATGTGCTAGAGCCGTGGTGGCGAACCTATGGCACGCGTGCCACAGGTGGCATGCAGAGCCCCTCTATGGGCACACGCACCATCACCCCAGTCCTAGGCCTTCAGCTGGGTTTTATAAAACCTTTTCATTTTAGGCCTGCGCCACTGTGCGCAAAAAAAAAAAAAGGGTTCAATCAATCAATTTCAACTTCTCCAGGTGCCTTTTGAAAAAGCACCGTTGAGAGAAAAGGTTGGTGCCTTTATTTCATTTATGCATCTCCTCCCCCAATTCTGTGTCTTCACACCCAGAAGAGAATCTGTCAGCTAGAGTCAAAACATTTACCGGACGCTTCGTTTATTCTTAAGTGCTTGCAAATATTAAGACAACTGTTTTTGCACATTAGCGGTTGCAAAGGACACGCCGAGCAGCACAGAGGGGCACTTTTCCAATTCCTTGTGCCAATAATCTATGTATTCCCCTTCCAGCTGAGCTATATTTAGGGCTAGAAAGAGAGTAATTAATCCCAACTCGCATGATTAAACAACGGGGAACAGCACACCGAGCCAGAAAGCAAACAACTCGACAAAGATGAGCAAATGCTCTCAAGTGCAAATGCTGCAGAATCACGGAAGCCGATTATTGGGATATTAGATCCCACTTTAAAAAGCTTGTATTTTTGCAACCACATTATACTCTATTCCTGTCTGCAGTAAAATTTTAAAATATTCTTGAGGTTTGACGGCTGAAACCTCAGCAGCAGTCAACCTGGAAGCATTTGTACCAGCTCTGCTCACAATTCAAGTTTTATCAAGCTTTCTATAGAAAAGAGAAATGAAGAAAGCTGCCATCGATGTGGCTCAAGTAGGCTCTGAGACAATCATGGTATACACCTCACTAAGCCAGTGTTTAATCATGGTTTCTTGACAAAGCCCATCACTGAGTGTTAAAATGCTACGTTATTATTCTCTTCTATTATTCTCTTCTATCAAACTAGCCGCGCAGAATCAGGATTTTCAAATTCTCAGTTTGAATTTTTAGAGACAAGAATGTGGGTGTCCAGTTGAAGTTAGTTTCATAATTTGCTCAGGCACTTCCTCAACAAAAATGCATGAAATAGAAAATGCTGTAACATTGTTATCCAGCCCACTCGCTTTTTGATACAAGATATCCTATGCTAAATTCTCAAACCATAGGACTTTATGGTTGTTTTAAAAAACAGAACTTTGTTGCTTCAGTGATCTTAGGAAAAGTCCCATTTGTTGCAGCTACCGTAATAAAATTCATCTTTGTTCAAGATAAAGAAAATTTTTGAAATCTGCAAAATGCAAATGCAACCCATTTGCAATAGACCCCAAAGTATCTATCGGGAAACAAATTGAGCACATATATGGATAGTTGTGTTCCATGAAATCCTGAGTTTGATAGCACCTCTTCCAACTACAATTTTATTAAAGGCATAAAGCAGTGGTTCTCAACCTTTTTAATGCCGCGACCCCAACCGGTCGTAAGTCGAGGACTAAACCAGTCGTAAGTCGAGGACTAAACCGGTTGTAAGTCGAGGACTACCCAACTGGTCGTAAGTCGAGGACTTTCCCTGCCTGGGAGCGCCGCGCATGCGTGGTTCCGCCCCCTGCGCCGGACGAGGCGTAGCTGGCAAGCGGCAGAGACGGAGCAGGCCGACCACCAGCTGGCCCAGCTCAAGGAAGGTAAGGCACCCGCCGGAAAAGGGGGAAAAAAATGGCGGACAGCCTTGCTTGGCGACCCCCATGAAATGGTCGATCGACCCCAAATGGGGTCCCGACCCACAGGTTGAGAACCACTGCCATAAAGTTTCTTGAGCTGCAGCTCATTCCTCAAAGGCACGGAATGGCTGATAAAGACCCCTGAATTGGGGCGAGGCGTGGGATGGTGGGGAAAAGAAGGCGAGACAGTTTGGTTGGGAAAATATAGATGACTTGTGAGACATATACCTTTTAATATAACGTCTAAGCAGAAACGGCACTATCAACTCCTTCTGATGTTGTGCTACCATGGACTAACAGCCGTCTTCCTACAATGTCTGAAGTACACAGTAATCAGACCCCTTGCTTGGTGCCCAAACTGCCTAAAAGAAAACAGAATGGAACGGATGGAAACTAATCAAGGAGAGGAGCAACCTAGAACTAAGGAGAAACTTCCTGACAGTTAGAACAATTCACCAGTGGAACAACCTGCCTCCAGAAGCGGTGAATGCTCCAACACTGGAAGTTTTTAAGAAGAGACTGGACAGCCATTTGCCCGAAATGGTATAGGGTTTCCTGCCTGAGCAGGGGGTTGGACTAGATGACCTCCAAGATCCCTTCCAACTTTATTATTATTATTATTATTATTATTATTATTATTATTATTAGGAAAGCAACACAATCTTAAAACAGTACAGGTAGTCCTTGACATACAACCATCCATTTAGTGACCATTCAGAGTTACAACAGCACTGGAAAAATTGACTTATGACAGGGGTCTCCAACCTTGGCAACTCTCAGACTTGTGGACTTCAACTCCCAGAANTTATTATTATTATTATTATTATTATTATTATTATTATTATTAGGAAAGCAACACAATCTTAAAACAGTACAGGTAGTCCTTGACATACAACCATCCATTTAGTGACCATTCAGAGTTACAACAGCACTGGAAAAATTGACTTATGACAGGGGTCTCCAACCTTGGCAACTCTCAGACTTGTGGACTTCAACTCCCAGAATTCCTCAGCCAGCAAAGCTGGCTGAGGAATTCTGGGAGTTGAAGTCCACAAGTCTGAAAGTTGCCAAGGTTGGAGACCCCTGACTTATGACATTTTTTTTTCCACACTGACAACTGTTGCAGCATCCCATGGTCACGTAATCAAAATTCAGATGCTTGGCGACCAGTTCATATTTATGACTGTTGCTGTGTTCCAAAGTCATGTGATCTCCTTTTGCGATCTTCTAAGAAGCCAAGTCAATGGGGAAGCCAGATTCACTTAACAACCGAGTTACTAACTTATCAACTGCAGTGATTCGCTTAACCACAGTGGCAAGAAAGGTAGTAAAGTGGGGCAAAACTCACTCAACAAATGTCTCGTTTAGCAACAGAAATTTTGGGTTCAATCGTAGCTGCAAGTCAAAGGACTAGTTGTACTTCTCAACCTCAGCACCTTTGCAAGGGTGGCTGGGGAATTCTGGGAGTTGAAGTCCACAGGACATAAAAGTTGAGAAACACTATCCTAAAAGATAAAAAGAGCCCGCCGAAAGCACATTCAACCAAGCGTGAGCAACATTTGCTGACCCGAAGGACGCTTTCCCAAAGGACGGTTTGTGAAACCAACTCTTGTTTATTTCCTAAACCATGGCCAAACGAATTCCGGCTTAATGTAATATGCAAACTCCAGTATCAGCCTACACCTTCCAACTGGGCAGAGTAAATCACCTTTGCACATCAGTCCCTTTTGCAAGACTTCATTCCCCCAGGACGTTCGCTATTGCTTCACCCTTCCCTCCTTTTGCTACAGACAGGATAACATCAACAGAGAAGGCACCTGCTAATTATTCCAGCCCTAATGAATTCCCAGAGCCCACCCTCGGGCAATTAAGCCTTACCACTCTGTTCCACACAGCACCCTGCTTGCTTTGGATATCTGGGGTGAGACGAACAAACTGGGTCATCACCATTGCATTGCCCATAAGCTCCCAGAGTGAGGAGCTGCCAGATCCCACACCTGAAAAACAAAGAATGTTAAGGACAGATTGCTCGCTAGATCAAAGCCAGTTCCCAACAACGTCTCTCACGTCAGAAGTTGAGCTGCCTTTTGATCAAAACGGCCATTATGGAGGAACGTGGTCAGTTATGAAACCCTGTCCAGAAGGCAACATTCAACCTCTTGGGGAAAGTTTACGAAGCCAAAGGTCAGGCTGCAAACAAAGACCATGTTGCAAGGCTGGTTCCGTGCGTTTGTGGTGGTATGCCAGCTTTCTATTTCCTTGGTTTCATTAAAAGTCTCTCTTTCCAAAGCCAGGTGAATAACCACACTAGAGTTCTGGAGCATTCTGGCCCTCCACAATTCACACACTACTTAGCTGTGTGTTGCAAAACACCCTAGCCAAGCCTGAAATCAGAAACCAAAGCTATGGTACCACGTTTTAATAGAAGCCAACCGCTTGACTCGGATGGACGTGGAGAAGGATACCCCCTGTGCAGAGGGACTTTAGAAATGCCACTCAGTTGCAACAGGACACATCCCCTCTGCACCCACCCAAGCCTGCACCAAAATCCCAGCAGTTCCACTCCCATCACGCTGCCTTTCGCAGCTCCAGCCTCTTGGTCAGGGTTTGGGCCCAAAGGGCCTATTTCAAAACCTCCCCACTTGGATGAACAGCAGACAACCAACCCCCTTGCATTCACTTGGCCTCCCACCCCCCAGGTGGAAATGCAACCCCTTTCCCACTTCGCCAGCAAGCAACATTAGCAAGGAAATTTCCCCCACTTGCATTTTCTCCTTCCACCCTGCAATGAACCTCTTGGCCCCAGCCCTGGATAAACTCTGTAACCCAGATGATGCACGCGGCTTCTTTGCACGCTGCCTTTTGCAAAACGGGGAACGCTCAACCGAGGCAGCCCCAAAAGTTTCCCTCCACCACCCCCCCACCACCCCCGCATCTAGGAAAGCAACTCTAGGGAAAGCCCGGTGCCCTAACAGGCAAAGATGCAACAGGTGGAGCCTCTCCAAGGCGGAAAACATCCTGTCTTGGGCAGGGGCTGCACCGGACGGATTTCCACCGTGCAATATAATATAATCGCGAAGGGGGGGAAAGAGAGGCGGCACCTTGGTAAGGCATAGTGAGCGAGTGCTCCCGCTTCAGGTACTCCTCCATCTGCTCCGCCCCGGCTTCCCAAAGCAGCAGCGGCAGCCATAAGAGCAGCAGCCGCAGCCGCCGGAGTTTAGCATCCCCGCTGCCGGCTCGCCAAGCCTCCGCCGCCGCCATCTTGCTCTCTCCGTCAGCCCTGAGTGGGCTAGGATGCCCTTCTCCCTCGCTGATTGGCCGAACGCTTTGTTTCGACGGAAAGCGCCGTGAAGGATTCTGGGAAACGTAGTGCAAAAGTTCCGTCCGGCTTTAAAGGGATAAGCGCCCTGCTTCAGCAGAGATGCTTTCTAAGCCAGAGGTCTCCAACCTTGGCCATTTTAAGACTTGTGGACTTCAACTCCCAGAATTCCTCAGCCAGCAAAGCTGGCTGAGGAATTCTGGGAGTTGAAGTCCACAAGTCTTAAAATGGCCACGGGTGAGGACCCCTGCTCTAAGCTACATGTCTTCAATATCTAATGACTGGGTTGAAAGGAAGCTAAAACTGAAGTTATTTCCAATCTAGCCTAAGAAATAACTGGAGATTAAGGCAATGTTACCAACTCCGACTTGCAAAAACTGAGTTTTTGTTTTTTTTATCCTCATCCGTTTTGCAAGTAGGGTTGCCAGGTGTCCACTTTTTTCACATTATGTTCACTATTTTTTTTCACAAAATAGTGGGCATTTTTTTTTATTCAAAAGCTTTATGATGAAATGGTACGTAATCTAAAGCTGTACAGTCTACTTTTTTTACTCCTTAACACCCCCCCCCCGCTTGTCCGCTATTTTTTGGAAGCAAACCTGGCAACCCTAAGTCAAATCCCTGAAACCCCAATTGAACTAAGTGAGGATGACTCCAAGTACTAAACTTCACTTCAACCATCCTCTTGACGCCTATGAAGGAGCTCCAAAAGCTCGCCACGAGCCTGGCTTCAGGGAATTATAAACGCTTCTCTGGGGGAGGGTGCCTTTCCCACGGCCCTTAAAGAGGCGGTGGTGAGGCCCCTCCTTAAGAAGCCTTCCCTGAACCCAGATGTATTGGCCAACTATCGCCCAGTCTCCAACCTTCGCTTTGTGGCGAAGGTTGTTGAGAGTGTGGTTGCACAGCAGTTTCCGCG